AAAAAAAAAAAAAAAAACTGGTGTCAAACCCTTTTCAGCTGCTGCACACTAACTGTTCATAGACGTCCAAGGGCCGTGGACAAAAGCAACACCATGAGCTGGGACTGTTGGCATGAGTAGTAATGGAAGAGATGAGGTAAGAGTGAGAGAAAGAGAGAAGTGAAATTTAAATTAAAGGGAGGGAAAAGAATGCAGTGTAAGCAAGAATATTTTGGATGTTGAGCTGGTTTAACTCTTCTTGTCTTGTAGTGCGAGACTGAAGGCCATTGCTTTCACATTGTAGTGAACTGACTGTGCGCTTGTCTCAGTTTCTCAGCAATCTGTCAATTCAAACGAAGAAAAACTCACATCAATACAAAACCCGAGGGTGGTCATGTAATGGTTTAGTATCTCTGCAACTGCTACCAAGGTAATATTCAACAAAAAGGACAGACTCCAATTCCAATCTTACTGTGATAGATGGTCGATAAAAATGCCTTACCGTCTCGTAAAACTTGACTTGCTCTTCCAAGTACAACTGCATGACCCTGTTGTAGTCATAGATACGGTTGCTATGGAAGTGGTTCATCTCAGCTGCGAGAGAAGAAGGTGGCAAACCACGTGAATCAGAGATCAAGTTACAATAAACTCTCTCGCTTACATGTTTCTCAGTGAGTGCGTTACCTTGTAATGTGTAAGACATGGTGCTGACTCGTTTGGCCATGGTGACTTTGTCCTGAGGGGTAATTTTACTGGCGGCCACCAGCTTGTCGGCCTCCTTCACCTTGTCTATGGCTGCCTGCAAGAATTTAAAGAGTCTTCAGTTACACTATATGAAGACAGAAGACCATTTGACTTATGTAAATCCAGATGAGGTAAAGGAATTTAAAGAGAAGCTAAATGAAAACCTGATATCTTAAAAACAGAAGCACATGTTCACAATGTCTTGTTGTGGACTATGCTGCACCAGCTATTCATAAATCCTTTCAGGTTTGTGTGTTCCTTTTCCTTACTAAGTCCTTAGCAACTAATAGCTACTTTCTACATTAGTGATTTACTGAATTGAGTTACACTATTAAGACTTCAGGAATGTCTTAGCCAGTACAGACTAATAATAATGTGTAAATCGGCTGCTAGGAAACATCTGTAGCGCTGTCCAATCAAAAGTAATCAACTATGTCAACAGGAAGTAACTGTAGCATCAGTAGCCAAACAATATATTAAACTTAATTGTCAATGATTTATTAACATGGGTGTTGACTCTTTTTTAAATTTAAATACATATTATATATGCTCCTGCTGCAGAGCCAGTTGACACTAAAAGAAGTCTTAAAACTTTGTGTAACCATTTCCTGATGTACCTTATGGACTCCGATGGTGTCCGGGAAGCATCCCAGAAGACCCTTATATTCATTGTTGGTCTCCATGAGGAAGTGAAGGTCTTTCTTGGGCTGTAAAAGGAGCAAACACAGAGACAAAAAAAGATAAAAGTAACCTTAAATGGCACAAGACAGGAAATAACAGATCTAAAAGTGATAAGAAAGAATACAGGGAAACATTACGACACAGGAATAACTTTTCCAAGTAATATTTTTACACGCGTCCAATGGACAAAAGAGATTCAGTAAAAGAGGAGCTAATAATATTTAACTGATGGCTAAATGTACATAAAATTCCACACCCTATTCTTCCCATATCCTTGAATTTATTTAAGGAAGGCTGTATGCAGCCCCCACAGGTTAGTGCAACAAATAGACTGCATTGTTTTGCCTCCTAAGATGAATCCATGTGCAGCCACTGGCTTTCACCATTGCTATCACAGACATTGCTTAACCAAAGCCAACAATTCTACAGGAGCAGCATAAGCTTACCAGATGAATCCTCCCTCTGGAAGCTGCTGGAACATCAAAAAAGGCCCAAGTTTGATTTTATTACAAACCATGTTGGCAAACTTCATAAAACAAGTCAAAACAAGCGTCAGGAAACACTAGATATATGTTTTCCTGTAGCTTCTACCCCTACAGATACAGACTTCATGAGCAGGACGCTTGGTTAAAAGGGTCAATAAAACACCACAACTAGGATGTAAACACTGACTGCAAGCAGGAAATGTTCACAGACATTGTGAGATAATGTGATTATTGACAGGGTGGTTGGTGTAAATTTAAACTAACCTCTGAGGAAACAAGCCAGAGTTCTGCCTTGTTCATGAAGGCACATACGTACATTTTAAGGCAGTGGTATTACAGTGTGTAACAACAGGGACAGTACCTACCTGCTCTGCCACCATCTGAGCTATCTCCTCATATGTCTTGCCCGCTGCTGTCATGGCATCTGTCAGGGTTGACTCGCCTACAGCAGGAAATGGGTTAAATGTGTAATCACCATGTTTAGTAGCACTATCTGTGTGTCGATTTGTTTTCAGATTTGTTTCTACAGATTTCCACATAATGAAAGACTGCATAGTAAGTTGCATCTACTACCATTATGATGACTACATGTGCTGATTACAGCAATCTTTTGAAGTCACGCAAAATAACATTTGATGTCATATTTGTGTTCACTGTTGTACCTTGGTATCCACTGCTGGTGAAGACAGAGGAGAGGTTTTGGAAGGCTTTGCCGATTCTCTGGTACTCTTTTGGCAAAGCTGTGGAGGGGAAGACATGAAACATGAGCACCAACAGACACACTGTGTGAATGGTTTTTTTCGTGTGTTGACAAAATACTAATAATTATGAACCATTCTTTGATATAAACAGCAATTACAGCACAAAGTGAAGGTGTGGCCTGTGTGTAGTAAAACATTTATTTTGCTTCAGCGCTGTGTGTACGTACGGCCTGTACATCTCTTCCAGTGCTCCTGGCCCACTGTGAGGATTTCCTTTACCCCGTCATCCATGGCTTTGGTAAATCTGCTGAACTGCTCACATTTCTGCTCCCTATGGACGGATTAGCATGTGGACATACAGTCAGCCACGCGATTCATTTCTGTGCTTTTGCAGTGGTTCAGAGTAAAGTTTGATTAAAACTCACACTTCCACAGGATCCAAGTCTTGAGCTTCAGGCTCTATCGTGGAGAAGATCATCACTCCCACCGTCTCATCCTTCTCTGCTTTTCTCTTCCCCGTTTTCCAGTCCTGTACCAATGAATCGCTCATTTTAATTAAGCAATATTAAAAACACTGAACCTGAATTTTAATAATTGCAAATCATCTTTTCTACATACAGTCAGGTCAATTATTCATCAAATGTTAGATTTTATTAATAAAAGCAGGACCTTTCAATCATTTAGTAATATTAAAAACACAGATCATTCAAAAGCTCATGGGAGAAGAAGTGAAGGAGGAATAACCCACCTTCTCATCCTTGTAGGTGAGGAAAATCTGGAATACTTCACTGCCGGAAATGACTGGGTGCCTGCACATCCTGGTCATCCAGCCCTGCAACCGCTCCATACGCATCTTAATAAACTCTTCCTCAAATCGCCCTGGAGCAGACATTATACACAGAAAACACTTTTAATGTTGTTGTCAGCAATGTTGATCTATTTTGTGTCTTACATTTGTTCGTCACTTACCTGTCACCTGCTTGTCTGGTAAAGAGGGGATGGGGATGGCTGACCCGAATTTGTCTAGCAGCCTCTCATACAGCCAATCAAAGTGCTTGTATCGATGATTGACTGGTCGGTTTGTGGTCTGCAAACAAATAATGTGGAGTTATAAACATTGTAAATGAAGCGGGCAAAACACTTCATCATTATTTTACACAGGCAGAATATGATTTTGTGATTCCACAGCTACAGATAATTGATATACACCAGGGTTTATAAGCAAAAATTCTATGACATATGGAATATATTTTTAGTACTTGTATAGCGGCAAATAAGAGTTATAAATATTTTTGAGCTTGTGAAATGATGTTCACAAATAATTTCACAGCCTCCAGCTGTATATCACCAGCGTGGTTTCATTTCAGGTTTTAACTTCAGTGTTGCATAGACAGATGTGTGTGTCCATCTCTCAGAATTTGTGAAACCTCACTGTCTCACAATCTTTAAGTTGTGAGATTAGTTGTGAGTTGTTTGTTGTTTTGTTTGACAAATTCACACATTCAGATACATGCATGCCTTTTTTTCTCACATTCAGTGTAGAATGCACACTAAAGGTGATACACAACTGCAGGTGGTTAAATTATTTGTGAACATAATTTCACAAGCTCAAAATATTATTTGTATTCTATATACAGTCCCTAAACTTTATCTTAACCCCAGGTTAAAAATATTGTCCGTTTGAAAATGCTACTGGATACTTACGTTGGGCGTGATTTGGTATTCGATGTAGCTCTTGAGGCCGTACATCTTTGAGCCTTTCTTAGGATCAGCCACCACACAGTCTAGCTGACTTTCTGGGTAAGACCACACCGGGCCAACTTCTCCCAGCTGAGCATAAGACAAATAGTTTAGAAACCAGCTACACTGGATTTTATAGCATACAAACAAGTTCACACCAGTAAACAGAGGAAACCAGTTTAAACCTGCTGGAATACTACTCAATATATACTGCTGGAAATATAACATCTTTTACTGCAATAATAACAAAAACAGTGCTAATGACTGATTTTTAATGTCTTGTATTGATAGTGCATATTGTATTCAGTCTGGTCAGATAGGTTGAATCCCTGCAGCCCAAACACTGATATAACAAGAAAGACATAACCTACATAGATTGGTAGTTTCTCTTTGCCCTTGGGGAGCTGCTTGCATAGGAGGTAGAGCTCTGGCCCAGACTTAGAGAACCCAGGAAACCTGCTCGAAGAAAGAGAGAAAAGTTTGAAAAGTGATGGTCCTGATGACTTGTGTTTGTGTGGCCGTAATTACGTCAACAACAACTAATAAATTATTTCAGTATCATATTCATTATAGGTTTCCTGTGGAGTTTTTGACCAGGATACACAATTCTTAGTCAGACACCATTCACACTGACCTACAGTTGGTGGCAACATGCTTCGTCAGATCTAAAGTAAGTTCAATTTCTATGAGTCACACTGAATTTAAATATAACCTTTGTTTGTTTATAAGAAAACAAAATATGGAAGTGTATTTCCTTCTTAAGTCTTACTTGTTGAGGGAGATTTTCATTGAAGACGCATGAGCTCCTCCTCTCTGCATTGCTCCACTTTCTCCAGATTCTGACTCAGCGTAACCTCCAGTGGACTTTATGTCATCCCACTCATCATCCCACTCATCATCCTCTGCTCCTGATGGCAAATAGATGCACACATAGTTTTGTTTTAAAAGCACTCAAAGTACACATTGTGTTCTCCAACAACCTATTGTACAACGCTGAAATGTACAAGAACCCGGCTGTAAGAGTTGTGTGAAAATTCACTGCTGAGGATTACCTGATACAAACAGCAGTGTCTGTTCTAGTAATATTAATTAAACACTAGCAGGGATGGACATTAAAAGGATTTGATCAATTCTGGCATGGCCATCCCTAAATGCTACAAAATAATACATAGACACAGTTTATCTGAATTTGGCCTTAATGAAAATATTTTCACACACATACACAACAGGCAAGTTAGGAAATAATAAGTGCACTGATACATTACATCTGCCCTACAAAGCCAAAATGCATATTTAGCCAAATTGAGTTAAGGCCATAATCTGATTTGAAGCCTTAGCTAAGGCTAGCAGAAGCCTGAAACTACTCTTTTCCACCTGTTTCCTGTTGAAAATGCTTTGTAGCTAAATATTTGCTAAATCTGACCATGATGGGTAAACAAAAAGGTAGATAAACTAACAGTCCTGCTGAAAAATGACTAGCCTAGCTTAGCAAAGCAGGAAAGGCAATCCGAGCCACTGATCTCTCCTAAATGTTTCAAGGTTTTTTCATGCACCCTCAAAATTGTCTGAAAGTAGAGAGTAAAACAATCATTGAATTTACAATGTATCTATATCTTACAAAGTTTGGTTAACCAGGCTTAAAATGTAAGTTAAAATCCATAAATGTCATTCTGTATTTAGATACTGCTTTCTGTCTTTTGTAGGGCAGACATGCTGTGGGACAGAACTCTTTATAAAACTCATCATTAAAAATGTATCAAAAATCCGTAGTCAATCCAATACAATCCATTCAGAAATCTCTTAAATTTCAGGGGTCAGTCACAGCTGGCACTTTCACAATAACGTAGTAAATATAGTGTTAATGTCAAGATACAAACTGAATGCCTCACACACATGCTTTCAAGAATGTAAATCATTTCCAAAAAACATTTACTGGAACCTCTTTTCATGAATACTTGTTGTCAGTTCACACAAGAGTTAGGAAAAAGCTTCCACCAGGTGATGCAGGGGATACCTGTGTTATCAATAAGGTAAGGGTACGGGTAGATGTCTTTGGCAAGAAAGAAAGAAAGAAAGAAAGAAAGAAAGAAAGAAAGAAAGAAAGAAATGAAGAGTCTGTTAATTCTTCTCCTCAACAGATATTTCCCCAGCTCTCTTTCTACAATAACAACTGGAGAATTTAAAAAACAGGTCAAGTAATTTGTCCTTCTGAGTCATGCGTGAGGCTAACTTTTCCACAGTCTGGCAAAAACAGAATCATGACATGATTGTCTAGTCCACATGCTGGAGCATCGGTATGGAGGGATTGGCCAGAGACAGACGTCTGAACAGCAGCACATCTGGGAGTTAAAGTCACTCCAAATCTGTAACATATTTGGAGTGGAATGGTACTTGCAAATAATAAATACTGGACCAAACTACTTATAGTTGCAGAATAAAGGTTTTACTCTATATTCTCAATGTAGGACAGGAAATAGTGTTCTGTCCCGAGTATCAAAAATATCCTTTTTTTATATGGTTGGTAATCTAAGAAAGCTGATTTTAAGTATTATTTAAAAGAGTACTTGACTTATACTTCACTCTGTGAAAAATTGACTTGTTTTGGTTAAAAATACCAGGAAAACATCAGACATTAAGCACATATTGAAATCCTTATCTAGTTAAATCTGCTGTCTTATGACCAAGAAACTTATCACAGTTAATCTTGCTCTTACATTTTCCATCCATGCAGAGAGCTTTTATCACATGTCTGGGGAACTGGATCGTGGTCAAAAAACTCAAGAACATTTATACAATATGTTTACTAAAACACTGAATGTTCTGTGATGTAGCTGCCTCTATCAAAACAATCCAAATCAAGCATCCCAACAGAAAGCTTATTCTGACAACAGACTAGGCCGTTAGAAACGTACAACACGATTCACAAACCACACAATCTAACTGTGTTGCAGTGTCGTGTTATACAAGATGCTTAATTTGATTATTTGTTTAATTAAGCTCACACCTCCTGAGGGCTCAGAAATAAGTCTTTGCTTTCAACAACAGCATCCACTGCAGCCACATTCTACCCTCTCCCCACAACTACAGTTTAAAAAAGCAAACTATCTGCAAACAGTTCACTCAACTGTTTAGCAAGATAATGATGCCAAGAGATGAAAACAGTGTGTGACTTCCCGTGCCTGCAACCACACTAAGACATCACCATGTAGAGTCTCTGTAATTTGTTTTTAGCACAACATATTTTGTATTATGTCTGTTAGTTCATTTGAATTATCTTCAATTATTCTGTTGACCATCACAACAAATCTATGCAGTGTAGTCTTCATTTCCCTAATTTAAATTATTATGAGGTTTCGAATAGAAGAACTGAGTAGTGCAACTACAACCACAAGATTAAAAGTTCTTTAGACATTGCACAAAATCATAGGCGGTGATTTTATTGTACTGACACATATTATGCTTTCAACATCTGCCATGGTTGCTAATTTAAGAGCTTTTTCTTACCAGGGCCCTGGTAAGCCTGAGGGTGGCCCTGGGATATGGATCCCCAGGGGTCAGCAGCACTCTTCCCAGTCTGGGTGCCCTCTGGATTGGACGCCCAGTTGTTGTTGGTGCCCCCCGAGGGGTCTGCGTTCCACACCGACCAGGGATCATTACCATTACTAGCCTGGAAGAGATGGAAAGAGAAAATGTCAGGGACAAAAGAAGAAGAGAAATGACGGATCAAGTATGGAGAGAGAGAGGAGAGTCCAGTCTAGTTTGGAGTCTGTTTAATAAGAAGTTGACAGGAGACTTAAAACAACATGCCACACGATGCAGACTTGGCCTCTAACAGGGTATCTGTTTAATCAAAGTGACAGTGTAAATGTCTGTAAATGCTGCTTAACATATGCAGCCATTAAAAATATCAACATAACACAAAATATTGCATATCCAAAAAATGACACATGCCGATAATGATGTGCAGACTCACACAAACACTACCATTCTCAAGTCCACACACACTGTTTTATTACAGTACTTACAAACTGAAAATGCAACTACATGCCATGCTTGCAAGGCAGACATACTGTGTAGACCACTATGAAAACATGTGGGCATTGGCATGCAATAAGTGTTTGTGTGCCTTTTGTAGGTTGCTGTAAGCTTAATGCTAACCCAACTAGTGCAGGGTCAGTTAATACACCACATAATGCACATAGAAATAAAGAAAAAGTACTGTAAATGAGCCAGTAGTTTCACAAAAACTTGCTGCAACAAAAGTGAACACAGCATTGTAGTGAGAAACAACACTCGAACAGAAGTTTCCAGCATCGTCACTGTACATAAATACACAGTTTATTTAAAAGTGAACAATTTTGAAGATTATTTATGAGATTCTGATCATGATCTGGTGTAAATGTTTGTTTTCTGGTCTGATGATTCGTCAGTGTGATTAGTCAATTATGTGTCATTGACTCCAAGCTTTGAGCTTTCAAAGTTTCACTGTGGTGCTGATTCATACAATCGAGATAAAAGGTGTGGGAGTTGATTGGTGACGTGTCACTGTGCAGGTGAATGGAGAGGGTGAGATCATGCTGTCTGCAGGCAGTAGTAGTAGGAGGGGGAATTTGCCAGAGCAGACCAATCGGAGAGGAGGGGGCTTGGGGCAGAGAATGGGTGAGGGTGGAGGGCTTGGTTTCATGCCACTAGCCTCATACACCACCCACCTCCCCTGAGTTACCAGTTACCTCATCAGGGGACGAAAGGTAGGGGGAAACTGGGGTGTCGGGGGTATCCGGCTGGGGACTTAAGCCCCCAGCATCCACCTTGAGGGGAAAAGAAGGTGACATCATCATAAAGCGCCAGCAGTGAAGGTTCACACTCAGCAGGGGATGCTGGATATAGATGTGCTTGTGTGTGTGCGACAGTGGGAGTGGGTAAAATGAGTGAGTGGAGGAAGGGAGGGGGTGAGGGATGATGGCTGACACATTTCCTGCCTTGACTCAAACACTCACTGTGCCCAAATTTCTACTGATCCAGCAGTACACTCACATTCGTGGAACTTCCTGCCTACCAACGAGAAAAGATTTCACTGCACTTGTTTCCTCTTGGTTCTATTTTACTCGAGCTAAAACCTGCGTCAGTTATAAATGACATGACCACGGTGAATATCTCCTACAGCAGCTGCTCTCACTTCTGCATCTGTGGGGTTCACACAAGCTGCACGAACGTCAGTAAAACTCTGTCATCGCCTGCTTCTGCTTTTTCTTCAACATCACCCCAGCACACGTACTTCTGACATGGCTGGTACACTGTGGATGGCACTGTTGTGGGTATTTACTATTACTTCCCCAGTTGTCTGTGCCACTGACTTTAAAGCTGTACAAATAATATAATAGTCTGGCTAAAGGTCAGTAAAAACAACAGGCGTTTGATATGATACCCATATCTTCATTAGGTGAGTGCATTACCTGGTTCTGTGCTGGTGCTGCAGGGGGCGCATAGGCATCAAAGATGGACAAGTCTGGAGGTGCAACATTTCCAAAACTTGGGGTAGGTGCTGTGGTTCCTGCACCTGGGAACGATGGAACCTGCTGCCTGAACTACAAATGAAAGGATAAAAGACAGAAAAGAGTCCTATTAGCAGAACAAAACCAGATATTTCAGTGTGATTTAATGACTTTTAAAGGTACTACATTCTTCTGTGGTAATGTGATCCTGACTCCTTGGTATTCCCTGGCTTTGCAAACTCTGAGTTTTTAACTTTCTCTGTTTATCCAAAGTGTGATAGCACTGGCTAGTGATACTTCAGTTTACATATTTAAATCTGCTTTACCACTTAATATGAAGACACCATGCTTAATTCTGCTGGCTATTTTTGTTAGTTCGACATCTTGTTTTTGCAGATCTTATTTTTTACCAGTAGAGAGCACTGAAATAGAAAGTAGCTGCATGAGAAACACGTCCTGGTGTTTTTCATTAGATATTACATAAGCTACAAGTGCAATTGTCATCAGTGGGTTTTTATGATTTGGGAGAAAAATCAAAACAGTCTGGGGGCAGCTGGGGAGGTGAGTTAAGGTCAGAAACACACACATTCACATGAGCTTGTTTGCTAAGTAAAGCAGACAGAGGATATCTCTTTCTTGTACACACAAATACTACATTGTTGTTTAGAGTGAGGCTAAAGCTTTTAACAGAATTTAATGACTTTATTTTTTACTCAAACTCCATTTGTGTCTCTTTGTGCATGTCTTTATAGTGAATCATATCCTCACGATGAAGTCAGTTGCTGGATCAAAATGGACACACACAGACAAACACCCTAATCAGCAAAACCCTGAAGGAGGCACATCCTGTTGTGATTTCAGGCAACAGTCGGCACCACAGTCTGCAGTTAGTGCAGAAACACATCCTTGTCTCTAATGATAAGTGTCTAACTGATAGAGGCATAGAAAGGGTGAAATGTTAAATATTTGGTTGCATGTAGATAGTACATATTGTTCTTCTTGACCGCATAGCAGATGTCTTTACAGCTTCATTCTCTGGAGGTGAATGTATTTCAAATAGAGTGAAGGATGTGAGATGTAATAATCACCACCATACACTAAATGACCGTCTATCTTACCTCGATGTAGTCTTCTGGCACCAGTCCGACTTCCCCTCTGGAGTTCTGTGCTTCAATCCAGCCACCTCCGATACTCTGAAACAGAATGACACCCAAAACAACATGTGAGCATAAAGGACTGAGACTACAGAGAGTGGGCGTCTGCATCACATGCACACAAAAAACAGGCTACTGGGAAAAAGAAATCATATGGAGGGAATCTGAGAATGGGTTAAAATGCATGGCAGTAACCTGATTACACCTAAATTTACTTTCATTCGATTAAATTCTGATGCAAGGACACATTGCTACGAGTAATGATGTTCTTTTTAAACCTGTTGTAAAGTATCTGACATGCACATGCATTTGTACAGAAACCTGCAGCAAAAAATGTGCTGCAAAAAAAAAAATAGCTGTGTTAGCGTACCTTATTGTGTTTCTCTTAATTCTTCATTGAAATTAAGCCGAACAAGTTTCCCATTTACATGTCATTCAAGGTTAGAGCAAAAAAGCTGACAATTAGCAGGTTCCACAAGTATCTGTAAACACGCTGAAGCTCCCAGGAACAATTCCTTCACAGTCAGTTTATTTAGTGAAGGGAAAAAAGACTCTGTTTTCCTCATACAGTAGGTCCAGATTGGCTTCTGAGCGACTTTGATTAGAAAGATATGTAGGTCAGCACACAGTGAGTGACCTTTGAACTGTTGGCAACTAGCTACAATGACATCATGTGTACTCCCTTCCCTTCCTTCGTCTGTACGTGTTTGTGACACTGACCGTTTATAGATAACCTGAGATCATGTGAGTTGACAGGAGAGTCACACGGACATTTCAATTTGAGGCTACAACACAAAAAGCTATAATAGTTAACCAATACAAAAATTTAGGGTAAAACTAATCAAATCAAGTTTATTTCTAAAGTACATTTAAAAAACCCAGCAGAGGTAAAAAAATAACCTAAACGAAAACAATACATAACACAAAACGGTAACCGCAATACAGCAGGAGAGATATTGCATAACACTACTATCCCACATACAAATGAATGCTGCCTGTATAGATTTACCTGATTGGTGATAGTGACTGTCTCGCCTTCCTTCACCGTCAGCTCGTTGTTTCCAGGCTCAGCAGTGAAGTCATATAAAACTTGTGCCTGAACACAATCAAGAAAAAACACCAAAGATTTACTGCGTGTTTGAAGACAGCCCAGAGTTGCACAGTGTGCATGTCCACGTATACAGCAACACACCCAATAGCAGTGAAATCAGGGTTCGGTGAAAACAGGCCCAACTAGTTCTTCTGGGTATATTGCGCTGACTCTTCACTAGGCACTAGTATCAACCAAAAACAAGACCAGAATCATCACGTTACCTGGTTCAGTTCAAAACAGGAGCCTGCAGTTATTCACACACTGACCCACAACTATTAATCAGCCCTTCCCCCTTGGCCCCCCAGAGGCGTACACAACAAACCCAAACAAATACATGCAACAATGAGAGATAACAGAGTGAAAAATACTCTAAATGTGACTTCAGCTCATGGTTGATATTCAGGCCTTCCTACATTTATTTTCATAACTTTGACTATGCAAATTCACTTAGGCTGCCACTTCCTATTTAAAACTAAAATGTCATACCATGTCTTATCCAAGTAGACCAAATTCCCAGGGCTCGGCTATCTGATTAACTTGTTCATTAACTAATGAGATGGAATTCAAGGTTATTTGTACTTCCGTGAACAGAGATCTTTTTTTAGTGTTAGCCTGACACCTCCCAGGAGTCATTTGTTATTTTTATGTAGTGTAAAAGCATTTTGTTTGCGTTCTGAAGTCTGCTTGGGGTATGGTGTGATTTGCAGTCCTAATCTAACCAAAAAAGGTCTTTACAGTTTTAGTACTTCACTCGGGTTTGACCTTTGACAGCTTGACACTAGAAAGCTGTTTTCACATCCATCTGCAGGAGGGGGAAAGTTTCTAAATGTGACACGTGTAACAACAAGCACGATTCTGTGAGAAGTTTGGAAGTCAATCCTGGTCCAGTATGAAAACTGAAATCCTCCAGTACACATACACTGAGAATGTAGAGTAGAGTCAGGTAAGAGAAATCCATTCCATATTTTTGAGTGACTGAAAAGAAGTAGAGGTAATTTTAGGAACTTTAAAACCAGGTGAGACATATCAGACAAACAGTGTTACAAGAAGAGTACACGTGATAAAATACATCAGGAAGGGGTTGTTTAACTTTAATGGGCAGGATTATGGGACCGCAAATTGTGATCAAAATAAACCTGGATTTACACACCTATTTACAGTAATAATACTAATACTGATAGGCTGCTAATACTGTTAATGGTAACAGTAACTCACATTATTTTACTAAGGACATGCTGCTAAAACTTACTGTATTAATGAAGATAAAACACTGTATAATAGATAATCTCCCTCTCTCACACACATAAACACACATATACATACATACAGTACTGAATAAACAAACACCCACACACGCGACTACATTTCCCATAATTCCGCGGAGGTAGAAATGACCCGCACTGGAAAAGGTAGTAAAATGTCACAAGACACTTTCTTAATGAGACACATTTTCCATGTACAGCAAAAAAACAGTCGTGTCACATTTACTGCACACAAATGTGTTGTTGGCGTCCATTACACGAGTCCAAAAGCAGAGTATTAAAATATGTTTGAGTCTTTAATATGTCGCATATCGAGTGAAATGTCCACTGTAAACCTAATGCGAGAAACTGTAACTCTGTGTGAGCCTAAGTCCATAACCCGCTATTTTATCTGTAAAACAACAACTGTCAGGACGAACTGGTGGAGGTAATACACTCAGGTTGACGTTAAATCGTCTTAGGAAAGTTGTCTGACTTACCTTTACCGCCATTGTCGAAGCATTGATCAATCATTACAAAAACAGGCCCTGCGGTTTTCAGGATTTCCAATCCTCAGCTGGACATTTCCCCGCAGCTTCTCAACTAAAAAACGCGAAGAAAAAACACGGTGATTCCTCCCGGTGTACAGCCGCCGCAACACACACACTTTAACACATTACTAAAACAGTCTGTCACTTCAAAAAAAAAAAAAAAACCTGTGGGTGGTGGGAAAAAGAGAGACGGTGGGAACAGAACAGACTACTTCCAGAGAGACTGCAAGTTTGAAGCGCGTAGAGAGCTGACAGTGCGGAGGGAGTGACCTGCACCGCGGAGAGAAACCGGAAAGGTAGTCTGGATGCGATATGGCCCTCCAAGACGTGACTAGTTCAAATAAAACTCAACAATAAATTAATCTTAATCCATAAACCACTCAAGCTGTTTTTTACAGCTAAAAAAACAGTTAATGTTAATAACTTTTTTATTCATATTTTTTATTATAGTAATAATAACATCAGTCAAATTGCAGATATGTCCAGTAGACTCAAATATATAGTAGCAACCATTCAAGCGTTTGCTTTAATAACTAATATAAAAACCCTAGAGTTTTTTAAAATCTTTATTCATAATCGTAATTCGTTTTTTTTTTTATGTGTTAACAAGTCGCTTTAAATAGGCTACGATAAACTACGCTCAGAGGTTCCGACAACATTCTTGTTCTGAAACCAAACAGTGGTTAAAGTTCCGGTTTATTATTATTATTTTAATCTGAGGCAGCTATTGTACTGTGAATGTTGTTAACAGCTGGCTCAACGGCTGAAGGGAGTGACCCTGAATGTGTGTGTTATGCTGCAGTCGACCTCTGCTGGGCTAAATGTGCTTTTACATTACAAACCTGGTCCATTATGATATCTGTATATCTCTCTCTGTGTGTGTGGTCAGTGTCGGACACATAGCCTACTGTCCAAGTTTATGGCCATCAAATCAAAGTCCAGCTCACATCTTTCTTGTCATATATATTTTTATAGAAGCATTTCCAATAATCTGAGTGACACAATTCTGTTGCCTCCTTTCTATAACATTAACTAAATAGCCTAGAACACTGGTTTACAACCTTTTTCCTTAAAATACCCCTTTTCTATCATTGCGTAAACATTCATTAGCTTTTTGGTTGTTTAAACTTTATACATTTTGAACAGCTTGTGTTCTGGCCTTCAAAGTTTAGATCTTTAATAATAATCTAAACTTTAAAAATAACAATTACAATTTGTTTTCTTCAAAGAATTGGGTGAAATGCAGATATATAGGCCTACTCTGTATATTTTTTAAGTTTTCTTACACCCCTTAAAATTAAGAAGGCCTCATGAGGCTTTTGTGACCCCTAGTGGTGATCCCAACCCCCTGGTTGGGAACCACTGACCTAGAATATAGAACAATAGAATTTGCAAACAAATAAACATAGAAAAACCCCAAATAAACAATTACGAATTGAGTAAATAACCGAAAACAGAGTAGAATAAATAAAATGTATTCCTTCCTTGCAGTTATGAGGCCATAATCAATAAACAGTCTTTGAGGCTTCCTTAATGTGTTCGGGGCCTCTGTTCTGTTGTGCCAAAGATAATTAGCTTGTGGTCAGGATACAATGTCAGACCAACCACTATTAGGAAGATTTTTAAAATATCCTCCCAGTACTTGGTCGACTTCGGGCAGTAGACCAGACAATGACGCAAAGATACTTTTATCACATTGAGATGATACCTCAGAAAAAAATTGTATGGCGTTCTCTTTTTGAGTATTACACTGTATAAGCACCTTGAATTTGCACTGTGACTGCACATTGTGTAGGCTGTGGTCAGATATTTCCCCCACCCTGTTATTTTCCCCATGCATCCAGTTTATCTGGTCCAGCTCATTATGCTTGACTACAAAACCTGAAAATTTGAGCCTTCTCGCTTAAGCTGAAAATTGCAGGTGCAAACAGCTTAACAGCTGAAAATTGCAGGTGCAAACAGTTTAACAGCTTAAAATGCCTTAAAATGTTAATTGCTGGCGACTGAGAGATTTATTAGATTTGAGAGGTTTCAAGATTCAAGAGGTTTATTATCACATGTAGGAAACACAGTGGTTTACAATGAAAAACGTACTTTGCCCGACTCCCTTTAGACAACACACAAATAGAAGAATAGAATAAAGTTAAAATATAAAAAATAAAATAGAATAGAATAGAAGTTGCACTCAAAGGAAAAAGCAGTTCAAGTGTCAGTTGTAGTTGAATCACTGAAACTGTTTATTGTGTTAAAGTGAAATTGGTGAAAGCATTAAAAATAAAGACATTTATAATAATAAAAAGAAAAACACCTGGGACACAGAGATAGAGTGTCTGGGACAGTTATGGGACAGTAGAGAAATGTATCATTACCTATAATTATTACAGTTATGTGTTATGGGATATATTATATATTATAATATATTATTATATTATACCATATATTAAAATGTGAGGTGGCACCAGCAGGAGTCTTATGCTATGTCAGTCACACAGAGAGAAAGAGTCCAGTATGGCCAAGTTGTCAACATTCTCACTAGATTTAGACTTTTCAGACCCTCTTAGTAAATCTCTAAAAAGCCACTAGCGACAAATTTAGCAACTTTTTCAGACCATCAGGGAAAATATTAAAATATATTGTAATGCATTCCCATACATGGGAGAGAGCTGTGCAGAGCTCCTTTCCCAACAGCACTGGGGTCTCTCCCTCTCCTCTTGTACTGTGTGCAGACCTTTGTACTTACAAACAAATGTTACAAACATATGATCTGTCTGTAGTGAGTTTGTGATTATTTTTACTAAACTAATAATGTTCAAAGTGTGTGTATGTACATTTCCATCGCCACCAGAAACTAATTTGAATAGGTTTGCACTAGTTTGCAGGGATTCATTCATTGATATAGTAAGTAAATAGTAAATAGTTAGAAACAAGAAACTGTAACTCAACTGTAACGCAACAATGAAAACTGATAGTGACCATAGGGTGATTTCAACGTTTTATTCAGATTATTCTGTGCAGGGAACAACTAGCAGAACTTATATGGCCATCAAGAATGAGTAAAATAAAGTGATCTGGGTTACTGAAAGTTATTACACTATATTCATTATGTAGAATGAAAAGAAAAAACTAAAATCTGGGACAGTTGCGTGACAAGCCCTGCATGTAGGCACATTGAGAACATATATAAGCACTAAAAGCAACCGTCAGGTAAAGTGTAAAAGATGAAAGCATTTAAAATGTTAAGTTGCAGCACCAGAGTGTAAGTTCCTTGAAAATATTTTCAGTATTTCTGGTATGTGAGGAGTGACAGCAGACAGTATTTGAACTGTCAATTGAAAAGTAAGAAAAGAAAAAATGTCAGTTGACGTGTAGAGAGAGAGAGGGAATTAGAGCTGCAACGATTAGTCGATCAATCAATTAACTGCCAACTATTTTAATAACCAATTAATTAAAAATGTCAGCTTCTCAAATGTGAACATTTTCTGGTTTCTTTAGTCCTCTATGACAGTAAAGTGAATATCTTTGGGTTGTGGACATTTGAGGACTTCACCTTGGGCTTTGGGAAACAGTGATCGACATTATTTATAATTTTCTGACAGTTTATGGACCAAACAAACTAAGTGATAAATCAAGAAAATTATCGATAGATTCATCTATAATGAATATCATCATTAGTTGCAGCCCTAGAGAGAAGTGTGTGCACTGTACATTCTGATTTGAAAAGATATACAATAAATACAATAATATGAGTGCAACAATTACTTTTAGTATCTGAATACATCACTCATCACTCATTCCCATAAAATGACATTGTTTTGGTGTTGCAAACAAGTGTTGTTAAGAGGTATTGCTTTCATTTTGTCAATAAATTGACAACCTTGGCCAAAGTGAGAGGTATTGTACACCTTTCATTCTGGCTCCCTTCTCCTCACCTCCTCATATATCAAACACCTGAAGCCAGCTGTGGTCTCACTCGTCTGTCAGTGGGAAAGAACTGGTGGAACAGGTTGATATCAACGGTGGACTAGCTGAGAGGGGATACAGTTCAAAATCCGCAGTGCACCTGAACCACAGCAAGTTGAGAGAGACAGAAAGAGGGTATGAATGTGGAATAACATGAAATTAATTTACTGGTAGGCTGAAGGTTTTCACTAATCTGACATCAAAGACAGTGAACATTTAACACTGAGAGTGAGCTTTTGAAGAAATATAGTGAATTTTAGCACAGACATCTGAATGTGATTAAGACCACAGAAAAAAAGTTATATACAGTATTTGTCGTTCTCATGGGCAAATGCTACATGACTGAGCACTTTTTGCCTGTATCACTTGAATTCATCTAGCGACGCAGGTGTGTCAGAGGAGGGTGGGAGGGTATTTGGCAACTCTGCAGACACAGGGCTCATTTCGAAGATTTCTACCATCAGAGAGACATCATGCGCTCTCTGCTCCCTTTCCTTTACCTGTTCTCGGTCTGTACAAAAGGAGCAGGGGCATCGGACCTTAACATGCCCTTCATGGAGTACCTGGACCAGAACCATATGGTCTGCCTGAAATGGGGCTTTGATGACGTGCAAGGGGAAATTACATTCAAACTGGTGGTCAACACAACAGGCTGGGTGGGCTTTGGCTTTAGTACGAACGGAGGCATGAAGGGGTCTGATATTGTCATCGGGGGACTTGGACCCAGTGGAAGCTATTTCAAAGTAAGCCATCATCCATGTTCAACAGCATAACATTGTGTTAGGCCAAGATCAGGCTTTGTGCTGTCTGAGAGTTTTGTCTTTTTGTCCATTAGGATTATTATGCCATAAGTAACTCCATGCCTTTGGTGGACGAGCAGCAGAGCTACAGTCTCCTGTCGGTGACTGAAACTGAAGGTCAAACCATCATGACTTTTCAGAGGTCCATTCAGTCGTGTGACAACCAAGACTTCCATATCACTGTAAGACATTCAGACATTATCTCCCAACTTTGCACCTGCCGCATTATTGTATACATAAAATATCAACTTTATTTTAAGTAAAAAGAAACTTATAAAAGACTATTTTATTTCTTCTGGTCAAGTTTCATTGCTAAATCACATAATTAAGATGAGATTGGAAATTTCTTCACTATATAATGTCAGAAAAATCAGAAAAATTATCAGAAAAATGAATCAAACAGATGAACTATGTTTTGTAAGAATGCAGGAATATTGCTGCTGTTCTGTGTATACAGACCAACAACTTAAGTAGGCTACATTTTCTCAAGTACTGTACCTAAGTACAAATTCGAGGTACTTTCCACGAGTATTTCCACTTCACGCACCTATATACTGTTATGCCAACACATCCCAAATATTGTACTCTTTACTCCACAACATTTGTCTGGCAGCAGGAGTTACTATTTAGCCTACTTTTCTTTTTATACTTATACTTTCTGTCCAGTGAAAACCATGTCTTCTCTCCAGATGTGCTGATTCTTTCTTTTTCTAATAAACCGAAGGATTAAGTGTTCCTTTATGGGTCGAAAGAATTATCCTACCTCTTAAGCTAAATAATATACACGGAATTGTAGTATTGTTACAGTGTCGTACTTTTACTGAAGTTGTGGATCTGAATGCCCTTTTTGCCATTTAACCAACGTACCTTGTCAACAACATGCCATTTAAACTTGTTATACACCACGCATTACAAGCTTTACTTTTTCTACACTGTGGTGGCTCATTATCTGTAATGTTATAGTCTTTTGTGTTGCTGATCTAATTCTTCATGTAAATCTCAGGTTTCCTGATTGTTTTCATGTAAACCCTGTTATATATGTTCTTTTGTTAGGTCCACCAGAATATTCTTTCATTCAGTTGGGTGTTTTCAGATTTGAAGACAATGGCAACAACAAAAGCAGGAACACAAGATTTTGTTGTGCATTGAACACCTGAAATGCTATACGTTTTTGAAAAATAAAAGCTGGCTGTATGCAGTGACATTTGTGGTTGCGCCTTTTTATCATTTGTACTACTGCTACATTATTCTTGAATTTAAAAAATACCTATTTTTTAAAGTAAAGAATGACTTGATTTTTCAGTTTTGGGACACAGGAACACACCATTGTCTTTTAACCCCCATTAAAAGCGCTTTCATGTTGTTGCTTGTATTGTATCATATTTGTTGACTATTTGTTGCCATCTCCTTTATAGAATCAACCCATTAAACTGATCTATGCCTATGGACTAACAGATGACATCGCTTACCATCAGAGCCGTAGAGGCACCAAGGAAGTCAACCTGCTGAGCTACACTCCCAGAACGATCGTAACCAACCCCAACTATCTCAGTGCCTCAGTGCAAAACGTACGAATAATTCAAAAATAGTTATTACAACAATAGACAACACACGTTTGTGGAAATTGTGGGGAAATTTGTAGATTCTTCAAATTTTTTTTACCTTCTAGCTCACTTATCTAATTAAGTATAATGTTTACCAGAAGCTGGAATACATTGCAGTTGGATGGATGAATGAATGAATGAATGAATGAATGGATGGAAAACAATTTTAAAAATCAATATAATTCTGATACCTGCAGTCATCCAAACACAAGTTGCATATTGTTACATTTATTTATTTATTTATTT